CTGTACAGTATTTTATATTTGCTGTTGGAAGTATAATAGTTTAACATCCTGTACAGTATTTTATATTTGCTGTTGGAAGTATAATAGTTTAACATCCTGTACAGTATTTTATATTTGCTGTTGGAACTATAATAGTTTGACATCCTGTACAGTATTTTATATTTGCTGTTGGAAGCATAATAGTTTGACATCCTGTACAGTATTTTATATTTGCTGTTGAAAGTATAATAGTTTAACATCCTGTACAGTATTTTATATTTGCTGTTGGAAGTATAATAGTTTGCCATCCTGTACAGTATTTTATATTTGCTGTTGGAAGTATAATAGTTTGACATCCTGTACATTGTTTTATATTTTATCTTTACTGTTGGTAGTATTATAGTTTGACATCCTTTACATTGTTTTATATTTTATTTTTACTGTTGGAAGTATAATAGTTTGACATCCTGTACATTGTTTTATATTCTATTTTTACTGTTGGTAGTATTATAGTTTGACATCCTGTACGTTGTTTTATATTCTATTTTTACTGTTGGTAGTATTATAGTTTGACATCCTGTACGTTGTTTTATATTTTATTTTTACTGATGGTAGTATTATAGTTTGACATGGTTAGGTAGCATATATTTTTGTTTAATTCAGGTTTCTTTTATTGTTCTGTAGAATAACAGATTATAAGTGCCAGTTGGAAGCTGCACTGTTGGAGCTTGAAGACTTGAAGAAAGATAGGACACGTCAAGCTGAAATGGTTGAGACAATTGTTCAACAGAGGGACATGTATCGTTCCTTGGTTGCTCAGTATCAAGGAAAACCCCTGGTGAGTTATTTGGTTTTAGAATAAGTGTTAAGGTTTAGATTCAATTAGATACTGTATGGGGACGAAGCAGTTCGTTGAACCTCAATTAATATTTTCCACCAAAAGAATTGACAAGAAATACTATAAATGTGTTTCAAGAAATTAGACTGGATCTTGGAAGGAAAGTTACAGCACTTTGATTTAAAAAGAAAATGGCTTCCTCATAAAGAAATGATACTTGCCCAGTATTAGAACTAAAAGTGTAACTTGTGCTTGTTATAGGGCTTATGTTGACAATGTTTATTTGCATGTTGTCAACTCATGTGGATAGTGTTTTTACTTTAATTCATCCATGTTGTCAACTCATGTGGACAGTGTTTTTACTTTAATTCATGCATGTTACCAGCTTATGTTGACAATGTTTAATTGTAACTCATGCATGTTGTCAACTCATGTGGACAGTGTTTTTACTTTAATTCATCCATGTTGTCAACTCATGTGGACAGTGTTTCTACTTTAATTCATGCATGTTGTCAACTCATGTGGACAGTTTTTTTACTTTAATTCATCCATGTTGTCAACTCATGTGGACAGTGTTTTTACTTTAATTCATGCATGTCATGAACTCATATGGACAGTGTTTTTATTTTAATTCACGCATGTTGTCAACTCATGTGGACAGTGTTTTTACTTTAATTCATCCATGTTGTCAACTCATGTGGACAGTGTTTTTACTTTAATTCATGCATGTTACCAGCTTATGTTGACAATGTTTAATTGTAACTCATGCACGTTGTCAACTCATATGGACAGTGTTTTTACTTTAATTCATGCATGTTATCATCTTGTGTGGACAGTGTTTTTATTTTAATTCATGCATGTTGTCAGTTCATGTGGACATTGTTTCTACTTTAATTCATGCAAGTTATCAAATCTGTGGGCAGCTTTTTTAGTTTAATTCATGCGTGTTATCAACTCGTGTGGACAGTGTTTTTGTTTTAATTCATGCATGTTGTCAACTGTTTACTTATTGTACTAATGTGTTTTTCAAATTACCATCATTATTTTTATGAAAATGTGTTAGCACACATGGGCTGTACTGTTTAATTTTTAAACTACTTATTAAAATGTTCGTTATTTCATTTCTTGAATTACTCAGTTTTTCTGACGCATCTTGTTGAGTGTATTAAAGTTGCTTTTTGACATTCAGTAAAGAATTTTGTGCATAATTCATGAAAAGTTTGTGTTATTCTGTTGTCTGACCCTGATTTTATTCGGCCCAGTGCTCCTGTTTCAGTATATTGAATCATCTTTATAAAACTATTATTTCCATTCTTTTATGAATGATACAAAATGTTAATTTTATTCTTTTGATGTTATATCTGATAGAGTAAAAGGTGTGATCTTATTATTTAGTAGAAAACCGATCAATCAGAGATAATACTAATTTAATAATCTGGCAAGAAAGGCTGTTATCGATTTTATTTTTAAAATATTAATTGTTCTAATGTAGTATCTTTGACAAAGAGTTAGTGTAAAGCAGTCAAATAATGTGAAGCTGGATAAAAAAATGAACCGATTGTGTGAGAAGATGTAAAAATCAGAAAAAAAAGTACATTTATTTACAGATGAAGTCTAACTCTGGCCCAAAATTAACTTTATTAAAGAAATGGTGACATTTCGAAATATGAATCCATGTGTGAGAAGATATAAAATCAGAAAAAAAGTACATTTATTTACAGTTGAAGACTAACTCTGGCTCAGAACTTGCCTGATAATATATCGCTTATTAACCCAAAGATTCAGTGGAGTCCTTGAAAATGCAGAATTTGCTGTAGTTTTAGAAAAAATGTTGTTTACAGGTTAATACTAAAATGTTCCATTGAAATTGTTCAGCAAGTTATTTTTAAACTATGAGTTATGGTTTAAATAGATAGGACTTTGAAGAGATTTATCAAGACAATAGAACAGCTGAATTGATGTTTACTAATGAATTGTTTGGTAAACAAAGTTTGATTCTCCTTTCCCATAGTCTGTTATAGAAAGTCCGAAAGAAAAGCAAACTCCAACACAAGTTGGAGCTACTTCTTTCCACTCACCTAAAGAAGATGTAAAGTTGGCAGAGATGAAAGCTGAATTGAAAAGGCTTCAAGAAGAATATGAGAATTACAGAAAAGAAAAATCTGAAACTATCAGGTTAGAAACCTTTAGTCATACGAGTAGCTTAGTCTTTCTCCATTTTCTCTTTAATACTTTATTATCCAAAATTTGTGTTTTAAGAACATGCCACCAGGGAGTACCAGTACGAGATTATTTCATGAATTACGAATGCTTAAAAGATGTATATGTTTTTTACTCACTTCAAATTTTAATATGTTTGTAATTTACCAGTTCTTCTTAATAATGAGCTGGTTAATTCAAGAAAATAATAATTGATAATGCCTGGTGTTAATATAAGTAATTAATGTAGTACTACAGACTTCCTAACCCTAATTCTGATGTACATAAAATTGATGAAAAATTAAACTTTACCATCTTAGTAATCCAGTTCACACAGTAACAGGTCAGTAGCATCTCAACCCTGTAATTTGTGTTATATCTCAATAGTCTTAAACAACTCTACTGTTAGACTGGATGTGGTAGATGTGGTGTGGTTGATATATTATTGTGTGCTCTTCATTATTTTCACTTATAAATAATATTATAATAATTTCTTATATAATTAAAGAATAATTCTCAAGAAACATTCCAAAGAGATGATCATGTTTTTTTAACTAACTGTTGTCTAAAAAATCAATATATTTCAAGCTGGTCTTTAGTATGTAATTTATTTGCCGAGTCATATATTTATTTTTGGAAACAACTGTATTATCTTGTACTCATAAGTTATTATCCAATAGCATTTTCTTAACAAATGGAGTAAACTATTTGTAAAAGAGATGAGTCGTTCATATTTAAAGTTATAGAAGCTGTTTGGTCTAAACTTGTGTTGCCTGTTTATTGAGAAAGCCATCTCCAAATTAAATGAATACTTCATATTTAAAGTTATAGAAGCTGTTTGGTCTAAACTTGTGT